AACAACCAACCGCTTGCCCTCCCATCACCAACAACAAGGCGAGACGAGAAACCATCATCGCTCACACTAACTCCAACTCGCACGTCATCTAGCCCACAACGAGGGAGGCAAAGCAACGTCAACGCGACCAACGCTAACCAAACTCAACGACGGCAGCAGATGCGCACAATGCAATCGCAACACCACCACCACCACCACCACAACGACAACTACAAGTTAACAGAAAAGACCACTCAACACAAACAAACAAACCCTAACCACATTATCGAGCATACCAAAGTAAAGCCACTCCACAACATCAGCCCACCTTCCCACCCGCAAACACCGTCAACCCCATGCTAAGAACACCTAGCACGGAGGGCTGCGCCTTTGTCGCCGCACCACAACAGCCCAACTCAATGCACACGCACACGCACACGCACACACGGCAAACTCCACATACCCTCTCACAAACACAACACCTCGGCTGATAACACACTGACAGACATCTCAATGGTCTAACAGTCACCTACGGATCACGCCACTACTCTCATCCCCTATACCAACTAACACAATCACTACCTACAAAACCTCCCGACACACACACACACAACTACTAGCATTTAAGGCACACAGAAGCCACCATGCCAACAGACACAGCACTTAACATAACCACCTCACACTATGACCAACCCTCACGCCTCACAACTAATACCAATCTTTCGTCGCTAACACGCCTATCACTATCCCAATGAGCGACACCGCACCCCTGAGCCACGCCTAACACTATGATACGCACATCCACACCAATCCCCACTGCGTCCAACCCACCCCGTCTCCCTACAACTTACCTACACCTAACACAAGAAACAAGATCCACACACCTTCATCCCTACCGAGAACACGAACCTCCCAACAACCCTCATCCCAGTCGACAACTCCGCGACTTATCACGCCATATTATCCACTAGTATGCCACCGAGGCACGACAAACCGAAACACGAACTACAACTGGCCAACCTCACAACCAGTACAAGTCACACGCACCTCACATGCGCACCACCACGCCCTACGGCAACCCTCGACAACCCACAACTCAGAGGCACACCTCACGCAACGAAAAATACAACTCCGCTAACCCCACCGAGTGCAACTGGCGCCGTCCAAACACAATATGCGAGGTCGCAAAACACGAACGACAT